ACCGGGGATTCCTCCTGCAAACCCCCCTCTGCCCGCCTGCCCCCGCAGCAGGATCCGGAGCAGCGGGCGCCCGTCTGCGCACCCTTGGTGAGCAAGGTTTTCCCACCTTAAGGTTCAAAGATTTAAAGGCTTTAAGAGGCTGGCAATGCCCATGCAGCACCCACGCACAGCCTGACCCCTCCGGGAGCCCCCAGTTTCTTTCCCTGATCCCCCAAACACTTCATTTTGCAGGAAATGAGTCTTTCAGCTGGTTCCTGGAGGAGGCTGCAGCCGCTGCCTGGTTCCCAGCTGCTGCCAGTTCTGCGGCAGGGACCAGCAGTGGTGCCCAGAGCCAGCGGTGCCCTCGGGTGCCACATCGTGCTCGGGGAGCGCAGGGTCCTTTGGTGCCGGTGGGCAGAGCCGGCCAGAGCTCAGCGGCATGGTGGGCCAGCGCTGTCCCTGCCTGCTCCTGGCCACCACCCCATTGGGGTGGCCAGTGGCCGCCTTGCGTCACCTGTGGGTGCCTTGGAAACACTTGGCCACTTGGACTGGGTCGGGCTCAGCCAGGCCACCCCCATGGCACATTTTTGGGGTGCTGCTGTGGCTGGTGCCAGCCCTCCCTGCTGTGCCGGGGCAGGAGGCAGCTCCGTCCCCGGCCCCTGCGCTGTCTCCGCGCGTCCCCGGCCCGCAGGGGACAGGGAAGAGTGGCGTGTCCTTTGAACGGGCTCCAGCAGCGACAGGTGCTGGGAAAGGCGAAGCGGGATGGCTCCCGCTGCTGTAAAGGATCCTCCTCTGCCCGCACTAATCCAGCTCCGTTACACCCGGGATAGAAGAGGCTGCTCCCTGCCGGCGCTGCCACAGTGCGGATGCTGCCCTCCTGACTGCCCTCGGCACCGGGACCCAGGTAAAGGGGCCGGGGGGGTCCCCATGGCCGCCTGCTGGGGGCACGGCAGCAGGAGGTCCCGGGGAGAGCAGAGGCCCCAGCCCCGGGAGGATCCCCTCCATCCCTGCGGGCTCCCTGAGCTGAGCTGCAGGGCTCAGGTCTGCTCGGCTGGGAACCAACTGCTCCTGTCCCCGTAAGACCAGCAAGCGACTCCCCCGTTACTGGGATGGTCACTGGTGGGTTTATTCCAGGGCTGGGCTGCCCTGGCCTCTGGATGGTTGTGCAAGCTGTGCAGGGGGGGTGTTTTGGGACAGGGACGGGGATGGGCAGCGGAGCCTGGGGCAGAGCAGGGATTTAGGGAACGGGTGCTAGGCTGGAGGGGCCGGGGTGGCAGCTGATGCTGGCAGCCCGTACAGGTACGCGGGCACCAACAGGTCCCCTCGGTGGAGACGGCTCAGGC